TCTGTAAGTGGTGTCGCTATTTAAAAAAAGTCTATGCACTGTCACAAATATGACGTTAATATATGGCTTTTATAAGAAGGCTGATATGTTGGGCTTTCAAATTATAACACTATTGATGACGAAGTAAACACTGTGAGAAAATCATCGTGCCTCTCACCCTGTACACAGTAGCTCTACTCAGGTTTAGATCGTATTGTTTTTATCGGATGTTACCTTTGACGTTAGTGCTTCAGGTAAGCTACTTCGAATTAAAGACCGGTACCGAATCCAGCCTGATTGGCTATTCCGGACTCACGAGGATCGTTACTGTCCTCTTAAAATTTCATTTTCACGCACCGCTCACTCCGACAGAAGCTAGCGTTGAGGGGTTGTGTGTTTTTAATTCACTGTCACGCAGGGGGGAATGCGGGCTTGCTTCGCCCTGCCCTAGAGCTCCAGGGCAGCAGCCTACCTAGGCAGTCGTGCAAAGACTAGTACTCTTCCAGCTTATCCATCTTCGCCGATTGTACTTCAAGCTCGAAAGGTTTGGAATCAGGACACATGAAGTCGGAACAGGAGACCCTTTCTACTGTTTGAACCGTACAGTCTCATTCCGTCGGATGTTTTGGGACCCTAAGTCCTATGGGTGCGAGTCCACCGGTCTATCCTCATAAGGTTCATTATGTGCCTCGGGGCACCGCAGACGACCAAGACGATCGTCAATCGCTGTTGTACTACTGCAATTACTATTAAGGGTTGTATACCTTAAAATATCCAACTCCATCACGCACCTGTGGTCGACCTTCCAGAATCGTCCATCAGAGACTGCATTTGCCTATGCTACTTAATCGTTCTCGGCGGCGTGCTGAAGTCGGGCCCCATATGCCTAACTTTCTACTCGTAGCGCAACGTGGAATATGCACTGCACATTGCGCTTGCTCTCTAACTGCTACAGAGTTATTTTGAATGATCTGTCCTTGATCCGTGATTTTAGAAATTTGTTGTCCGCCTTCTTAAGGGACAAAACCTTGCGACTAAAGCGTCGGCTATCTCGTGCTACGATGGTTGGCACACAGAAGAAGGTGATGAACACGCGTCAAGCAAGTTTCGATCCTTGTGAGAAAACTGCCGTCTAGCCTTCCGAGACGATCCGCTGAACCCTCAGAGTGGGAATCGTAAAAATGTGCCTAGATGGAAGTCAAGTGCGGAATAGGACTCGGTAGATTTAGTTTGTTCACATAGCAGCTGTTGACGATCAGTGTTGGGGGACAGAGTATCCCGCCACATTACGTCTTTTCCTCTTGCAGCTTCTAAGCCTCCTTTAATTGCAGTTTGTCTGTTTGTCTCGGAAACCCATCTTTGTGATGCTAGAACACTTGTTCGCGCTATGTATGTATACGACACCTCCGGGCGATTGGAGATAATCAGTGTTGTGTAACTTTATCATTTCGGTGCCGGTTAGCAGCGCCTGATTTGCAATGCAGCCTCGGCAGGAATTACTGAACGAAGTAGTAATAAAAGAAACTCGAGCGAGACCTTCAACACTGCGGGTGCATGACCTCATAGTTGACCTGGGGGTTAAGCTCAGGCCAGAGACTGAGTCTTGCTTGAAGTCGTTCATTTTGCCACTTGGTGACGCAAGCTGTCACGGAGATCTGCAGTAATAAGCATATTAAAATTGCCCCTGTTGGATGCAGTGGAGGAGAGCGCGTCCAATTATTTATGAAATTCAAGGGTGCTCCCCTTAATGTATAGCAAGTGCTCAACTGCTTCATTCATAGTTCGCATTAATAGTATATTCATCTAATTAAGCTGAGTAATTTAATCTTCCGCAGAAGCCCCAATATCTTTTAATTTTTTCAGACTAACGAAATTTAGCCAACTGGTCTGTATATCAGCGTTTGGATCCTAGTCCCTAACATAATGGTTTGACTGTCGCTTCTAACAAGTTCCACGGGATGACTGTTTGGAGATTGGAACTTGCGCTGCATCTGCCGCACTCTCTTCCGTCACCGCCTGAGCCCAGTGTCAAGACAAAGCCAGAAAGGCCAGAGGCAGGATCGGGCGTAGGGGATTGGTTTGTTATGAGCCTAAAACGATGCGTGCCACCAACACTTCCTTTTTGGGTGCTTTTTGTGGGAGCGCAATCCGATAAACGCATGCCGTGCCTTGATCTGGTCCCCGTGTTGGTCCAGGGCATCTACCACGCGGCCTGTTTGGGGGACACATAGCCAAGATAGGTGAAACACCTGCATTCATTCATCATATTCCCGGTCACAACCGACAAAGCA